ACCCAGGCCACCCGCTCTCGTATCCGAACCAGCGTCGCAAGTGGATCGCCGAGCAGACCCACGCCCAGCACGAGCGCCGCTCAGAGGAGGTGGCGCGTGAGGTAACGCTCCGCTGTGGTTTTGGTTTCGTATGACCCCGTATTCGTTCGTCTGTGGTTGTTCTTACGTCTCTGTGGGGTTTCCAGTTTGCGCAAGAGCAGGAATTCTTCCGGCAGACAGCTATGATCTCGAAGAAGGACAGAGAGAAGGTTCGTTTTTTTCTTCCCGATCTTGTCGGATTTAGGGTTTACATTCGTCGAGATCACGTTTTCTTTACGACATTGGGGTTTTACTTTCAATTTGGGATAATAAAGTGTGAAGCTTTCTGATTTTGGGAGTAGTAGGAAAGCCCACTGTACCCACTTAGTTGAATGCCTTTCAGTGTGGGTGGGATGATGCTTATTGCTCAATATTTGTTTTGCCATACCAAATCCAGTTTCTTACTGGTTTCATTTTGTCATTAGAATTTTGGAATTGCATCAAATATGATGCATTAGGTATTCTTTCTTCACTTTTATATTGTTTATCCTCGAGTGAAGGTAACTGCCTTCAATTATAGTTAAACCATGTCTTCTCTGAACCTTTTGACGGTATAATGTTTTTGCTTGTCTCGTGTTTTAATGACCTCGATGGCTGCAATGATGTACAGATCGAAATGATGAAAGCCGTTAGTTTCATGTACGTTCGCCCGCCTGGTTATGATGCAGAAAGTGCCAAAGCAGCGGAGATGGCAGACCCAACAGCAGACGGGAGTCTTGGTGCCAAGTATGTCTGCAAGGACATCATCTTATTTGGTTTTGTCTGATTAAGGGAAAGTTGTTTCCTTTTTTAGTTCATTGCTACAAAAAGGATTATTTATGTAATGTAGATCAGTAGAAGCAGCACCCGGAAATGATCGTAATGGCGAGGAAAGGAAGAAACCACGACCCAAAGATGTGTTTGGGCGTACTCTTCCTACCGAAGAAGAATTCGAGATTCTAAAAAATGCACCAAGGTTTTGGCAAACCCCCCCCCCCTTTTTTTTTTTCTTTCCGAAAGTGCTATATATTCTGATATTACTGCAGAAGCATTGCAATGTATAAGTGAAAGTTTTCTCATCGGTTTATGATTGGAACTGTGAAGGCTGGAGACTGGTGTTCAAGGGAGAGCGAAACCATTCGCAGTGGAAGTGCGCAATGTGAAATGTCTGAGATGCGGAAACTACGGGCACCAGAGTGGTGATCGTGAATGTTCATTAAAGGATGTTATTATGCCAAATGAGGAAGTTCGATTGAAAAGAGATGATCCATTGACTGCCATTTCTGCACACACAGATCCCAGTGAGGTCGGTTGTGACTTGTGATTTTCTTTATGCTTATGGTGGAATATTTATCTTTGTCTTGCTGATTTGGATTCGGAAAGTGGAAGATTGTTTCATGGAACATCTTGCTTTCATTTTTCCAGCCTCTGAAGTGGGAATTGAAACAAAAGCCGGGCCTGAGTCCTCCTCGTGGTGGGTTTAATCCCGATGACCCAAATCAACAAATTGTCGCGGAAGATATATATGACGAATACGGAGGTGGGTTTCCTCGACTCCCTAAACATATTCATAAAATCTCGTCTCATTGTAGAAAACTAAATAAGCTGATACAATGTTTCAATATCTTTTGAGATTTCAGGGTTCCTCGGTGATGGCAGCATCCCACTTGAGTTGCTGAATAGCATAACGACAGAGAAGAAGAGGAAGTCCAAGAAGAACAAAGAGCATAAGAAGCATTCTTCTCGGAATGTCGATGACAGTGATGATTCTTCCTCAGCCTTGGAAGATACGGGGAGGAGAAGATCAACGAAGGGCAGGAAACATAAGAAGAAGGAGAAGAAGAGGAAAAAAAGCAAGAAGCATGATGATTCGGACCCGTATTCATCTGCAACAGATTCGGGTTCTGACAGTAATCGCTGGAGTGGGAAACGTAAGCATATAGATCAATCAGAGGCTTACAACCGAGGTAACACTAGCAGAGGAAAACATTCTTATTCCTCTGAGGAAGAGGAAGAATACAAGAAGCCTTCGAAACGGGAGAAGAACGTGGAAAAACCTTCTACTTCGTCTGATGATTTCGATTCTCATAGAAATCATTGGAGTGGAAAACGAAAGTCGAGGATTTCATATCGGTTGGAAGATGATCAGGAAAAGCACCATAAGTCTGAGAAGCGTCACAGAATCGAGAAGAGGCGGAAAGGAAAGGAAAAGTTTTCGTATGAATCAGAGGATTCAGATTCTGATGTTCGAGACAGAAATAGGTACAGGAGGAGAAGCAACAAGAACAAGTACGGACATTCTCATTTACA